GGTAGCTCCCCTGGAAAACACTCCCAGTGCACGGGCTGTAACGAGGGCACGCAACACACAACTCAGCACAAAGCCCACACATGGACTTTCCCTGAACCTCAACCGCTACTCAGTGCGAATAGTACAGTCATTTGGATTTCATTGATACAAAATAACTTGGCTGGTAATTTTAAAGTATGAAAGTATTAAGATGATTTAAAAATATCCTTTAAGTAGGTGGTTAAAGCTATTCCTCCTTTTTTTTAGAATGAACTAAATGCCAAGAAATTAAAAGCACCTCCTCTTTCCCTTTTTCCAGTCACATCCCACTGGTCACAAAGTCCTGGTATAACCCCTGAGGTTCTCCCTCTTGTAGTTCCCCTGCTATACACCCCTGCCACCATGCCTGTACTTCAGTCCTCTCCATGTCTCATCTAGGCTATGCCAACGGGTCATCCTGTTTCCACTGTAAGTCCCACCAATAAATTATCCCCCCAGCCCCGCTCTCCTGACAGTGATTTTCTGATTACACCGGTGGCACCAGGATAAGGTCCGCAGCCCAGGAAGGCACTCAAGGCTTCCTGCCATCTGGACCCAAGTGTCCTCCTGGCCCTCTCCCGCTGCTCCTGCAGCCTCTGTATTGCAACGCTTTGGCCAGGAGTCTCCCTGTTTCCTAACTGTCCACTGCTCTTCTGAGCATCCATGTTTTTGCACTTGTTCCTCTTTCTACCTGGAATGTCTTGCTCCACCTGGAAAATCGCAAACCTCCCCCCTCCTTAAAGCTCCAGCTCAACTGTGTCTCTCTTCAGTGGGTCATTCTGTTAACAGCCCAAGCGAGTTGGTCTCTCCCTGGTTTCTGTGTTTGCTTCCAACCACAGCACTGATGACAGTGTAACATCCTCATTTGTGTATGTGGTTTCCAATAGATCATGAAACTCCTTTGGGGGAAGATAATATCTTGTTCATGTTATATCCCCAGTGTCTGGCACATCGTTAATTCTCAATAGTGATTTGATGAATGAAAGAAAGAAAGAAAACAAGACTGAAAGAAAGAACAAGCAAGTATCAGTGAGGTTCAGACATAAAGCTCTTGGTTTTTAGGTTTATTGCCATTGGTTCTATAAATGGAATAAAATTCATTTAAAATAAATAACTAAATCTGTTTGGCATGGGCAACCTTGAAAGCGATTTCGGAAACTGGCACTGGGGTAAGGTTCCAAGAAAATCTGAGACCAGGAGGAACCAGTGTCCACCTGTGCATGACCAAGTTACGGCCTCAAGGTCTCAGCTTTTGTCTGGGGGGGTAGGGGGACCACTGCCACGTATCACAATGTCTGGCGCGCAGCAGGTGCACAATTAACATTCATGAATTATTGAATAAATAGATACATGAGTAAGCGTAAAAGTGGTTGACTGGAACTCATTATATCCAGTATATAATTTTGAGTTCAACTTTAAACCATGGAATTGGAAATGAGTGGAAAATGGAAAATTAGTCTCAGTCTGCACATACTGGACCCTCTTTTTGGGTTACATCTAATGTTCTCTCAA